CACCCACGGGCTCGGCGTGAGTTTTAAGCCTCTGGTTCCAGGACGCGAACCGTGGTCGACTACGTGGGAGTCCAGTGACATAGCCATTACACTAACTGCTGGTTCCCACGACCAGAAAATTTTGAATTACCCTGTGAATCACCAAAGAAAGACAACATGATGGTCGCTATAGTTCTGGTGATATGTATATATTGTTGTATTTTAATAGTTTTTTAAAACTAATCCATGAAGTGCTCTGAAGTTTCCCTCAATATTTAAACTGAATAGCCTATTCCTAGACCACCTGAAAAATAGACTTACCTTCATGGCTTATATGTGCCATGTTGGTTTTCACTTGTTCGTATGTTTTTCTTGCATGTGTCTTTTAGTCTGTCACCAATTAATATGTCTGCCTAACTCTCTGGACTGTGAACTTCATTGGGAGAAATCTTAAGTTTATGTAAATCCCATTTAAAAATGGCCTAACCAACAGTCAGCCTAAGGCAAGAAGGTTGAACAGGTTGAAGGGAGGAAGGATCTTATTTGATGCTTCTTGCTCTTTCCAAGCTCTTTTCTGGGGTCCTCACTTGGGTGCTGTTCTCTGCTATTAAAAGGAAATGGTCAGGGGAATGAGGTCCTAACACCCCACGGCTCTCTGAGGTTCTCTCAAATAACCCGATACAGAAGAGCCCCCCAAACTTTCTCCCAGCACCAGTGGTCTCTGGATTTCTGGGTAGAAGCCCTGGGAGAGTGTGGGAACTGTTCCTCTTTTTGGCCTGAAAAAATGAATGTAGGGAACCAGCAGTTAGTGTAATGGCTATGTCGCTGGATTTCCATGTAGTCGACCGCGGTTCGCATCCTGGACCCGGTGGCTTAGAACTCACGCCGGGCGCGTGTGCGTGTGTGCCCAAGATCCCGAGAGGAGAATGGAGGAGAAGGGATTGCGGCATGACCATCCCCCCTGGGAGGTGATTTCTCACTTTCTGTCTCTATGTCTCTCTCTGTCTGTCTGGCGAGCGCACGCGCCCTATAGCAAAAACCTCTCAAAAAAAAAAAAAAAAAAAAAAAAGAAAAAGAAAAAGAAAAGAAAAGAAATGAATGTGCTAGAAAACCAAGAAGAAGCCAGGAGTCCCAGTGCCTCACTGTAGATTCATACACACACACACACACACACATACGTACACACATCCTGAAGGGAACATGCCTGTCTTTCCTGCCCCACCAGTACCCTCAAAGGAGAAATGAAAACACTCTTGATTTCTTGCTATGGGAAGACTCTAGGAATGGCCCAGACACAAGGAAAATGGCAGGAAAATCATACCACAGGAGAGTGGGAGGAAGAAGGGGAAACTCACACAGGGAAAGGGACACTCATGA